AGCTCCAGGCAAGGAACAGCTGGCCCTGTCTGAGGAGCATGCAGTACAGAACTGAATTATAAGACAAAGGAGCTAGACTGAGAGAACCTTGGGCTTATACACAAGAGAATTCAGTGGGGGAATTTGATCAGAGAAGAGGGACAGGATCCCTCAGGCTTCTATGCAGAGAACAGACAGTGGGAGGCCAGTGATCCATGATGGTGGCAGGTCAGGATGGAAGCTGCAGGCAGGAGCTGGGCTCTGGTGGGCAAGAAGGTGAAACTCCCAACGCTGCCAGTGGGTTGAGAGAAAGGGAAGATGCTACTTAGGTTTCTTGAGCAATGGAAGGTGGTTGCAGACTTGGCAGGTGAGGTGGGGGACTGGAGGACCCTTGGGGTGCCCTGGGGCTGCTGGACATGTGCATCTAGGGCACAGTGCTGTTCAGACTAGAGCTGCAAACCTGAAAGTGTGGGAGATGGGGAGAATGAGGTAGGACAGCCCTGGGGGATGTATCAGTTTGCTATACAGAAACCATAGAGCTGCCAGAGGGCAGGAGGACCAGGAGATCCTGTCCTAGAAGCAAAGGAAGACAGCATTGGAGGGTTTCTAGGAGTAGAAAACAATGCTTTAGGCAAAGGAGTTGAGGATTCAGTGGAGCCTTGGATTTAGCCTGGAGGTCGCTGTGGCCCTTGACAGCAAATGAGGACATTGCAGCCCAGCAGCATGGTTTTAGGGCAAACATACAGCTTGACCTCCAGGGCCTGGCCTCATCCAAGCAGGGTTCCCCCAGCCTAGTAGCTGTCCTCTGCCCTGCTCATGGAATCCTGCTCTCCCTTTCCTCCTCGTACCCCCAGACTGGTGCTTGCTGGGGTGAGTCAGGGTTCTTCTGTCATCTGGGCCCCCTCTGGGCTCTGGGAGGCCGCCACTGGAGCCCTGCCTCTTCCTGGCAGGGAGCATCGAGTACAGCTGTCCGGCCTCCAATGAGTGTGAGATCACCAAGCGGAGACGCAAGGCCTGTCAGGCTTGCCGCTTCACCAAGTGCCTGCGGGTGGGCATGCTCAAGGAGGGTGAGCACTGGGCAGTGCCTGGCTGAGATGGGGGTGGTCCAGTGGGCTGGGTGGAAGCCTGGGGAGAAGGTGTGTTTGGGGGGCGGTAGGGCTCTGGGGAGCGGGTGTTTTATGGACATAGTCTGGTCTTAAAATTCAAGGCGTGCGTCTGGACCGTGTCCGAGGTGGGCGACAGAAGTACAAGCGGCGGCCAGAGGTGGACCCATTGCCTTTCCCAGGCCCCTTCCCTGCTGGTCCTCTGGCAGTAGCTGGAGGCCCCCGGAAGACAGGTGAGATCCTGGGTTCCTAAGCTTTGGGGTGGTGGTGGGACAGCTACTACAGACGTCTGTTTGGTTTCCTTACATGCCCTAGGACCCAGGTCTTATCTTCTCTCATTTCTCTCCAAGAAATAATTACAAAAATATCTTCACTGGCCAAGGAAACAGCTCAGGCTTTAGAGGAGTATTTGTCTAGCATGCATGAAACCCTGGGTTTGATCCTTCGCACTGCTTCATAGGTCAGGTGCCCAAGTAGAAGGGTTTGTATTGCAGTGACAAAACACCATGACCAAAGCCACTTGGGAGGACAGGGTTTGTTTCAGTTTACAGCTCAGGCCACACTCCATCACTGAGAGAAATAGGGCAGGAACTCAAGGCAGGAGCTGATACAGAGGCCACAGAACACTGCTGACTGGCTTAATATCTTGGCTTGCTCAGCCTGCTCCCCCACCCCCACCTCAGCCTGCTTTGTTACACAACTCAGGCCTACCTGCCCAGGAATGACACCCCCCTCAGTAGATGAGGCTCTTTCACCCCAATCATAATCAAGAAGATGCCCTACAGACTTGCCTATGGCCAATCTTAATGGAGGCATTTTCTCAATTAAGATTCCCTATTCAAAAAAAAAAAAAAAAAATTCCTCTTTCCAGATATGTGTGTCAAGTCAACAAAAACAAATCAGCAGGCTTTTTTTTTTTTCTCTCTCTTTTTTAAGTTGTTGGGGAAACTAGGGCCTACTAAATGTTAGACTGGGGCTGTATGCTAGCTACACCCAAGGCCCAGGGAAAAGTTTTCTAGTGCTCACAACCTTTCTCTGAGGAAGTGAGCAACTGTGTCTTCAGGGTTACCAGCAGCTCTCAAGGAAGGCCAGAGGGGAATGTCTGGGAAGACACTTGGCTCTGAGGGGCTTCAGAGGTCTGCCAGATCTGCATTCATGACTCTAGTTCTGCACCTGTCACTGTAGCCCCAGTGAATGCTCTGGTGTCTCATCTGCTGGTGGTTGAGCCTGAGAAGCTGTATGCCATGCCTGACCCAGCAAGCCCTGATGGACACCTCCCTGCTGTGGCCACTCTTTGCGACCTTTTTGATCGAGAGATAGTGGTCACCATCAGCTGGGCCAAGAGCATCCCAGGTAAAGGGCTTGGTGGTCAGGTCATCTCTGAACAGGCAGGCCATGTTTGTCTCTCCTGCATTCTTGACTGTCCTATTCCCCGCTGCCCTCCAGGCTTCTCCTCACTGTCACTGTCGGACCAGATGTCAGTACTACAGAGTGTGTGGATGGAGGTGCTGGTGCTGGGTGTGGCCCAGCGCTCACTGCCACTGCAGGATGAGCTGGCATTTGCTGAGGACCTGGTCTTGGATGAAGAAGGGGCCCGGGCAGCTGGTCTGGGGGATCTGGGGGCAGCCCTGCTGCAGCTGGTACGGCGACTGCAAGCCCTACGGCTGGAGCGGGAGGAGTATGTACTGCTGAAGGCTCTGGCCCTTGCCAATTCTGGTGAGTGTCCAGGGAAGGCACACACAGGTCTCCCCAAAAGGCTCTCCAATTGTCAATAGTGGTGGCACAGTCCCTTCTTATAGATAAGGAAAACTGAGGCTTAATTATTGAAAATAAGTAAGCTAAGGTCCTGAATTGTGCACAGGACTCTGAGCTCTAGTGCTGTGCTGACAAGGACATAGTGGAAGGGAAGGTGTGGAGGACAAGAGTGGCCACAGGTGAGAAAGGATGGGCCTGGCTCATTGACAGCAAATGAGGACATTGCAGCCCAGCAGCATGGTTTTAGGGCAAACATACAGCTTGACCTCCAGAGCCTGGCCTCATCCAAGCAGGGTTCCCCCAGCCTAGTAGCTGTCCTCTGCCCTGCCCATGGAATCCTGCTCTCCCTTTCCTCCTCGTACCCCCAGACTGGTGCTTGCCTGGGGGTGACAGAGAGCAGTGAGCGTATTATTCCTGTGCAGCAGCAGGCAGATGCGAATTCCCAGACAGATGCGAATGCTGCCTTTTTCCGTGTCCCCTTAACCAATGGGTCTCTCCACTCCTTAGACTCTGTGCATATTGAAGACGCTGAGGCTGTGGAGCAGCTGCGAGAAGCCCTGCATGAGGCCCTGCTGGAGTATGAAGCTGGCCGGGCTGGCCCTGGAGGGGGTGCTGAGCGGAGGCGCGCAGGCAGGCTGCTGCTCACACTGCCACTCCTCCGCCAGACAGCAGGCAAAGTCCTGGCGCATTTCTACGGGGTGAAGCTGGAGGGCAAGGTGCCCATGCACAAGCTGTTTCTGGAAATGCTCGAGGCCATGATGGACTAGGCAAGGGGTGGGCAGGATGGGCGGCTGGCAGGGTCTGCCCAGCACGGGTGTCAGCCCCAACGGGGCAAAGCTGGAGTCTGGGCAGGGCCACAGCCTGCTGGCAGGGCCAGGGCAATGCCATCCGCCCCTGGGAGTAGGCTTCATGCCCTCCCCTCCCCCCTCCGGGGAGTTGTCAGAAGCCAGGAAAGTGAATGCCCGGGTGTGGGCACAGTGCTGCCCCTTGCAAGCCATAATGTACCCCCAAGAGCGTAGGGGGCCTTGCGGAAGCCATAGGGGGCTGCAGGGGATGTGTGGGAGGCAGAAACTGATCTCAGGGAGGGAAGGGAATGGAGGCCACAGTCTCCCAGTGGGTGATGCTTTTGCTGCTGCTTAATCCGACCCCCTCTCCAAAGCAGAGGGGGTGTGGAAAGCAAAGGCCCCTGTCCCCTTCGCTCCTCTCCTCATTCGCATTGGGCATTAGTGCCCCCCCCTTGAAGCAATAACTCCAAGCAGGCTCCAGCCCCTGGACCCCTGGGGTGGCCAGGGCCTCCCATCAGCTCCCACCTCAAGGGGTGGGGGACAGCACTGCCTCTATGCCCTGCAGAGCAATAACACTATATTTATTTTTGGGTTTGGCCAGGGAGGTGCAGGGCCATGGGGCAAGCTGGGGGCCCAGAGCCCTTGGCTGTACAGAGACTCTATTTTAATGTATATTTGCTGCAAAGAGAAACCGCTTTTGGTTTTGAACCTTTAATGAGAAAAAAAAATATACTATGGAGCTCAAGTACATGGTGGTTGGTGAGTCACTGGGGGCGAGATCGGGTTCACACATGACATATTTAATTAACAGACTAATACACACGGCTGATACACACGGTACAAATGGTGGTTAGCAAGTTTATGTTTCAGTTTCTTCGTCATTCAGCAACATATTGGGGATCCCGCGGCTGATGGGGAAAAGACGGCCCGACTCCGGGCATTGCAGGGTGCCCTCCAGCACATCAACCTGTGGGGGAGCAGGACAAAGCTGAGCACCGGCAGCCTCCGAGTAGGAGCGCTTAGCAGGGGACAGGCAGGGTTCTCACCTCAAGCAACACGTGGTGCATCTTCCTCAAAAACGTCTCGTCGTGCTCATAGCCTTCGGTCGGCTCTTTGGGAACCTCGGCCAGGTTTAACTGTGGAAAAGAGGCTTACGTGGTCACCGGGCATACAAACTTCATTCCGCCCTGGCAGGGAAGAGTGCAGGAGCCCGAGTCCGCCCCCGGGGTGACAGAAGGGGCGGGATGCTCACAGTGTCCGCCGCCTGCACAAGCGCCGCCCACTCCACTTTGGGGATCATCCGCGCCACGAAATCAGGGTTGAACTCCACCGGGTTGATGCGGACCTCGGTGGCCTGCGGGGCGGAAAGGTTTAGCAAGGTAGTCGGGCCCCGGTGTCTTTATCCCGGGCTACAAGGGCGAAAGACCCTCATGCAAGTACCTGCAGCCGCAGCGGGAAGCCACGCGTGCCCACGCCCCGCACGTGCGAGCTCAGGAGATTGTGGGTGAGCAGTTTCATGTTGCCACTCGGGAGCTCGCGAGGCCGGAACCGGAAGGAGCGCACACTTCTCATACCACTTCCGCTGTTGAAGCCGTTGGACACACCGCCGGACCGGAAGTGGTGAACTTGCTGGAACTTCTGGGGTTTTGCGGCAGCAAAGGGATGGGAAAGACTGAGCTGGGTCAAGTCCTAATACCGGAAGCGTTTCTCAGGGAGATCACAACGGCGTGCGCCGAGCCCCGCTCACTGTCAAGCGCACGCACAATGCAAATCATATGCAAAGCAGGTGCATTGCGGGTCTCTCGATGAGTGTAAAACAGGCACATTTGGGACTTAGCTAGATTAGACCCCGACCCCTGTTTGCGGTTCAAGGTCAGAAACAGTTACATCGGTAAACTGAGCACCTCTTTTTTGCATGCAAATAAGGCGCGCGACCCCTGCAAGCCCCGCCGCGTCATAGAGCGTCACGGCTCAGCCCCTATAAATCGGCGTGGTAGGTGCAGCTAGCTGGTGTGGGCGGAGCGGATTCGGCACCCGCCTCCGGTGGGCAGATCCAGCGGCGTGCTGGGGGCTGCGGTAACGGGGCGGGCATGCTACAACCTGGAAAACGAGTCCTAGGCGGCACTGCCGGCCCGGTACTCCGCGCAGCGGCTACCTGGACGTGGCAGGCAGGCAAAGCAGGCCGGGAAGCAGCAGGGTGGGAGCGTAGCGGGGACCGCAGCTTCAGCAGCGCCTCGGTGGCTATGGCCCGGATCAAGGTGACCGGTCCCAACTCTCCTGGGTACACCCTGTAGCGGCTCTTTGGGTTCCACGCGGGGTCGCGGGCTGTCCTTGACGCTTTCTTCCTGTCATGCTTTCTGCAAGACCCCCCCCTCGCTGCTGCTCCTCCCCTGGACATTACTTGAGCCTCCCTGTGTCATTAACTGTGCGATGTCCAGGGACAGGTCCCCACCATTTCAAGTCACCGAATGCTATGTCATTTTCCACGTTCTTGAAATATCTCCTTCTCTGAGTGGCCGATTTTCAAACCCCTTATACCCCTCTTCAAAGCCCCAGCCCTTTTGAAAAAAGAGCTGTGGTCTCTTGGAGACCGGGATCTGTTTTTCCCATCGCTGTCTTCCCTCTGTGAATGTTTCCCCACCTTCTGTTTGGTCTTTCCAGAAGCTTCTTGAACCTACCCCCTCTCCTGTCCTTGAACTTTATCCTTCCTTCATTTCTCTCTTTCTTTCTTTCTTTCTTTCTTTCTTTCTTTCTTTCTTTCTTTCAACGGTCTCACTGACTGACCTGGAACTTGGTGTGTAGTCCAGACTGGCCTCAGACTCTTAAGAGATCTGCCTGTCTTTGCTTCCCTAGTATTGGGATTAAAGGCCCTTTCTTTTTTAAAAACACTTTTTAGTATGTATTTAGGTGTGTATTTGGGAACACGCATGTATGCACGTGGAGGTCAGAGGACAAGTTTCTCAGGATCAGTTCTGTCTTTCTACCATGTGAGTTATGGGGAGAGAATCCAGGCGGTTAGGTTTGGTGCCTTTACTTGCTGACCCCTGCCTCCCTTTTGTTTCCTCCTGTGGATGCAGGAAGCCTCCAGGTAGATTGACACTCCCCACCTACCCTGAGAGCCTGAACACTTGGGCTTGGGCTTCCCATTGTGTGGACAGGATTTTCTCCATCCCTGTTGCCAGGAGCTTTCTCAACCCTAAACACAGTCCTGTGTAATCCTCTCTGTGCATTGATCCATCTTGGGTGACTCGTTTACACAGTATTGCGACACTTGTGGAGGACTCTTCCTTTCTCTCTTGCCACCAACTGGCCTTAAGCAAAGCCAGGCTTCCTTGAAGCTTGTCAGATGTGGGGCGGCTGGGAGATGGGGAGGTCAGAGGTGACTCCTGGAAACTGACAAGGGTCCCTTTCTCTACTGGGTGTCAGCACCAGCTCCATCAAGATCTGTCTGCCTGGATGTGGTTTCCTGGGCCTGCCTTTGCCCCCTTTTACCCTGGGGTCCTTGTCTCCAGGTGGGAGATGCCATCCCCTCAGTGGAGGTGTTTGAAAGGGAGCCTGGCAAGAAGGTGAACCTGGCGGAGCTGTTCAAAGGCAAGAAAGGTGTGCTGTTTGGAGTTCCTGGGGCATTTACACCTGGCTGTTCTAAGGTGAGGTTTCTTTCCAGGACCAGGAGCATGGGAGAAAAAGACCCCAGTTAAATCTAACACCTCTGATTGGTGCTGCTGGTGGAAGTACTGAGACTTTACTTGGGATTTGTGCTAATGAGACAAAGGTTTTGCCCATGGCAATTTCATGTTCTTGACCACAGATATTTAGGTTCAAGCTTCCTAGTAGCCAAGGCGAAAAGGAAATGATACATTTCACACTGGTTTCCTTAACCTAATCAGAGGTAGCAGAGAATAGAAAACTAAAGAGCAGGCTCAGGAACACCAACAGCTATCTTTCTTTTGACCCTTTGTTTTCCTCTTAGACCCACCTGCCTGGGTTTGTGGAGCAAGCCGAGGCTCTGAAGGCCAAGGGAGTGCAGGTGTTGGCATGTCTGAGTGTTAATGATGTCTTTGTGACTGAAGAGTGGGGTCGAGCCCACAAGGCAGAAGGCAAGGTGAGGTGTGGGGCCTGTGAGGGGTCAGGCTCAGGTAGGTGTCCTTGTTTTCTCATTACATTTTGTTACTTATCTTATGTGTGGGGTGGGAACTCATGCCATGGTGCTCAAGTGGGGGTCGGAGGGTAACCTGTGAGACTTGGTTCTCTCTTTCTGCCATGAGAGGTCTTAGGTATTGAACTCAGGTTGTCAGGCTTGGCAGCAAGCACCTGTACTCACTGAGCCAACTCTTTGGCACTGGAGGTCTCCTAGTGACATTTACTCTGTGTCCCTCAGGTTCGGCTCCTGGCTGACCCCACTGGGGCCTTTGGGAAGGTGAGTGTGCCATCCTTCCCTCAACCTGCAGTTGGTCCTTGAGGGATGTGTTATGTGGGGAGCAGCCCCTGTCCTGTCTGGGGGCTCTTGACACACGTCTCTGCCTGTCTTCTAGGAGACAGACTTACTACTAGATGATTCTTTGGTGTCTCTCTTTGGGAATCGCCGGCTGAAGAGGTAAAGTGGACGAATCCCCCATTGGCACTAGGGGCTCTGGCAACTGGCTCAGCTTGTGCAGCTGCAACTCTTTTCCGCAGGTTCTCCATGGTGATAGACAATGGCGTAGTGAAGGCACTGAATGTGGAGCCAGATGGCACAGGCCTCACCTGCAGCCTGGCCCCCAACATCATCTCACAACTCTGAGGCTCTGGCCGGATGAAGTCCTCTGCCCCTCCCATCTTCCCTCCTACCCAGGAGGTCCAGCACCTCCTCACCTTGGGCCACTTAAATGGAACCTTGACCATATTTCTGCAATAAACAGTCTGATTTGTGTCTTTGCCTCTGGCATGGAATTGTCTGCTTTGTCCTTGCTCTTGGTGTAGCTACAGTTGGAGCCGAGGTCATTGGCAGGGGTTTATGGGAGAAAGTGGAGGACAGCCAGAGCAGGTTTCTGGAATCATCCTCTAAGCCAGCCTGGAAGCTGAGGGGAAGCCAGGATTGGCTTTGCTTGGTGCATCCTAAGACAGCTGGTGCTTGGTCGAGGAGCTGGCTGATTCCATTTACTCTTGACACACAGGGCAGGAAGCTTGGCTTCGGGACTTCCACTTAGCAGACTCCAGTTCCTCTAGGAGTATCTTTGGTACTGGCCAGGCTTTGGCAGAGTACACAATACCAGGCTCAGTACAGGAGACTTCTGAGGGAGGAGCCTTGAAGACAGATTGCCATTGGTGAGAGGGAATGAGGGACCAAGAGCCAGGGGCACTTGTAAATAGGGCATGGGGCCTCGGGAGATGCAGACCCTGCTCCTGGCCCTTGGAATCCATGTTCAGGTGAGCAGGGGGTGGCTGGGAAGCCCTTGCTGTGTTTAGGATGTTACAGTTCAAGAGGTAGATGCTTACAGAGCACCTGACTGATCTGTGAACACATAGTGTGAGATTTAACAGCAGCCCTTTACCGTAGCAGGCTTTCTCTTGGATCAACAACCAGCTCCCAAATAAAGACAGGGAGACTTAATATTAGTTATGAATGGTCAGCCTTAGCTTATGCTTGTCCTACTAGCTGTTAATTTAAACTGTTCCTTTTCATCTTCATTTTGCCTCAGGGCTTTTTACCTTTCTTTCATTCTGTAGGCCCTACTCCCTCCGTGGCTGGCTGGTTGGTGGTTGCCTGGCTTGCTGATCCTAGGCATCCCCCTTTCTTTCCCCCTAGTTCTCTCTGCTGCTTCCTGTCAACTAGTTGCTAACCCTGCCTCTCTGAGCCCAGGCTAATTTTATTTAACACAAACGCAACACATTTTACATAGTTAAACAAATGCAGTATAACCAAACGTAACACATCTTTGCCTAGTTAAATATTCCACACACTGTACAGCACTTAGGATCAACTTAGCTCTGCATCAGCCAGATGCTGAGAGGCCAAGCAGGGTGGAAGAGAGCCTGTAGCTGAAAGGAGCTTAGAGATGGGAATGGCAGAGACCAGTCAGGTTGAGCTTGAAAGGTAGTACCGGCCTAGGTTATAACAGGATCAGGCAGTCTGGGCACTGGGACTGCTTGGCTGAAGCCATCTGGAAGTCAGCAGGAGTTCAGGACTTTGAGAGTGGTAAGCAACTTGCCTCCTAGTTGTCTTGAGTCATCAGAGGATTTGTCCAGAGCACAGATCAGAGTCAAATCTGAGCCAGTGTGTGGATCTGGGAGACAGAAGAGAGGTGTTGAAAAATCTGTGATGGGATGCTAGGGGGAGTGCACTGGGCCAGGTGGGGCCATAGGCTCTCAGGGTGGAGGGCTAGGTGGTATCTCTGGGCTCTCCTACTAAGGGAACCCACCCCTCAGCTACCAGAGTGGCCAGTGCACCCATCTTTTCTCCTGAGATTCTCCCATCCTACTCACCACCCCTTATGTCACTGACCACTTATCATCTGTTCTCTTGTGTTGCTTGGGTCACAGTGACCCTGACAAGCACAGTGCAGAGACTTGTCCTTTCCCACATCTTTAGAGATAAATGAAGGAGCTGAGGAACAGGGCTTCCTACCACAGGGCACTGCATGGACTAGTGAGAGCACTGACTCCTGAACTGTGCCTCCCATTCTTCCCTGCAGCCTCATACCACCTTGGCAATCCCTCTCACTGACTCCAACTTTGATTTTCCACTGGTCGCCCATTTTCCCCATCCTTAGAAGGACTCTAAAGAAGAGTCCTCTCCAGAGTCTCTTGTGACTAGTTGGGTCTCTAGGCTGAGAAAAAGGGCTTACAGGGTCCCAGTGGCACCTTAGGATAGGTTGGGGCTGGTGGGCCCTGGTTGCACAGCACCTGGGTTCATGTTTAGTAGCTG